CGTGTAGATGTGGTGACTGGGGACATGTTTAGTGGTGGACTTAGCAGTGTGCTAGGTTAACAGTTGGACTTGATTTTAAAAGTGCTTTTCAACCTAAGTGATTCTTTGACATTTTATCTAAATCACTCAATACACCACACTTCCCAAAACCATAAAATGCCTAATATTGTGATATCACATTACACTGATTCTATCATGTCCATACTGGCTTAGTGTTAGTTGTACGGACAGCAGTGCCTGCAGGCACTCACCGTATGCTCACTACTAAATACAAACCAACTGAGGACTCCTGCTGCTAGTAGGTGATAAAACCCAGGAACCTGTGTCTACAGCTGTCACTAGTACATAGGTAGCACAGGAACATTTACATATATTACACCTCAGCCTTCTCTTTTTTTCCTGTTCCCTCCTTACATATCCCAAGTGACTGCCCAACTTGAGCAAGCCTGTAACAGATCCAAGAAAGAGACTTATTTCACTTTCCTGAAGTAGGAAATGCATCTCAATGGAAATAATTTAACTAAGCTATTGTTCTCTACTGTGCTTCAAGTTAAAAAAGCTATTTCAGCATTTAGCATGTTTAACACATCTATAAGGTTTATACTAAACAGCTAAATAGGTTCCCACTCCGCTTCCAAATAAATTTCCCACTGTTGATAGCTTTATTCTCATTTTTCTTCTTTGATTCTCTACATTTCTATTGCATTGTACTCATTCCTTTCAGGTGACTATGGCAAAGAAAGCAGGCAATTCCACAAAAAAATGTAGTTGTAATTCTTGAAACAAACAGATGAGTGATGCTCTGCAGAAAGCAAAGCACAGACATAAGGAGCTTGGTGCGACTCCACTGCACACATTTATCTTTAGGCTGTATAATGTTACTTGTCTAAACTTATCTGAACAGCTGCTCCTCAGTGCTCTGAGAGATGACAGGGGATGGCTTACCTTGGGATACCTAACCCCAGCTGTCCTCACACACCCTCTTGGAGGTTTCCACCTCCATCCCAGGACACTTCAGCAGCCCATAGTGCAGCTGAACTGCTAAAGAAAAGTCACAGCCTATCACACTACTGAAGAAAAAAAAAATCAAGGCAAATTCTAGTTTGCCTAAACAGGCTGCAGAGACTTCACTGCTACTTTAGAAATATTGAGCTATTTTTGCAGCTTGTATATAAACCACCAGAGGGCTAGGACAGTCAGCTGCATAGAAGCATATAATCATTCAGGTTGGAAAAGACCCTTGGAATCACCAAGTTCAACCACCATCCCTACTCTACAAAGTTCTCCCCTAAACCATCTCCACCAACATCACATCCAAACAACCCTTAAACACATCCAGAGATGGTGACTCAACTACCTCCCTGGGCAGCCTATTCCAGTGTCTGACCACTCTTTCTGTGAAAAAGTTTTTCCTAATGTCTAGTCTAAACTTCCCCTATTGCAGCTTGAAGCCCTTCCCTCTTGTTCTGTCGCCAATTACCTGCGAAAAGAGACCAGCACCAACCTTTCCACAATGAACTTCCAGGTAGTTGTAGAGACTGATGAGGTCTCCTCTCAGCCTCCCCTTCCTCAAACTAAACATTCCCAGCTCCTTCAAGTGTTCTTCATAAGATTTATTCTCTAGGCCCTTCACCAGCTTCATTGCCCTCCTCTGTACTCACTCCAGCACCTCGATATCTCTCTTGAATTGAGATGCCCAGAACTGGACACAACACTTCAGGTGTGGCCTCACCAGTGCTGAGTACAGGGGGACAATCACATCTCTACTTCTGGTCACACTATTTCTAATACAAACCAGGATGCCATTGGCTTTCTTGGCCACCTGGACACACTGCTGGCTCATATTCAGCCGCTTGTCAATTAGAACCCCCAGGTCCTTTTCTGCCAGACACTTTCCAGCCACACTTCCTCTGCTGTAGCTGAAGTTTTGCTTGCTGGGCAAACATAACATTGAACCAACACTCCTGTGAAAAACTACCAGCAAGGATAAAAAGCTGCTGGTATTTAAATGAACTCACTCTCTAAAATTTAAGTTGATAAAACACTTCTGAAAAGTCAAAATGCTCCCCTACAACAAACATTGCCAGTTAGTTAAAAATTTGTAGTGCTCAACTGGACATCATAATAGGTATATCAGACATTAAATACTCCAACAATCCTCCAATAATTCTAGAAAAATAGTAAGACTTCAAAACTTTTATCTCTCATTCTGTGACAAAAACTAAACTCAAAAGCTAAGTTCCTAAGAGGAGGATTTACCTGTCAGTCAGTCGCTTCTTCACAATTTCCAAGTTCACAGGTGGTAGAGAAACAGACGGATCAAACTTTGGTTTAGCTGGCTGAAATTTATGCAGGGAATCATCATTGTAAGTTTCCTACAAGAATTTTAAGTGTGAATTTTTAATACACCATTTACACAAGTTTTCCTTCTGCAGCTCTACAGATTAACAAGATATATCATTTGAATACACAAGGTATATAGTATAAAGATGCTTATTTCAATAATCAAATTAAGTACAGAAAATGCTGTGCAGAAAAGTATGACACAGAAGCAAGGAAAATTAAGTCTAAAAAACTGCATATATATGTTGTATGAAAGCAAATATCTCACACACATATTAACAGCACCACATAATCCACAAATTAGGGTACACTTAAGTTGCTGTCTTGGTCTGAAAATATTAAAATAGCTTTCAGTAATAGAAATAAACTACAGCCAAGCAGTGATGGTAATATCTGATTTCACAAATATCTTTGTGTTTTAAAGCTATTTGAACATATTTCTGATAAATTATCTGCCATCTATTTTCTCACAGTAAACTTTGCTACTTCCCCCAATAAATATGAATACTACCTTCTCAGAAAGCCAGTGGCCAAGAGAGAGATTTTTCACTCTGACAATTCAACTTAACCGTAATTGTAACTACAGAAGGATTCCACTGTATTTTAGCTTATAATTTAAAGGACACTTTGTACTCTAAAACAACACAAGTTTGTATGTTGAAATCAGATGAAGCAATCAAGTCCATGACTAAAAGCATCTGCTACGAAAAATTTCTGCAGTTTCCTAAATAGCAGAAATTAACAGTTTCCCAGTATGAGGACCTAAGAGCATGAAACTTACTTGAAATTCAACAGCAGAAAGATGTAACTTCCTCTGAGTCCTCCAACTACTTCCATTTAACAGGCTACTCCCATTTAGCAGGCAAATATTTCTACAACTGCTTATTTCAACATAAAAACTAATTCATAATTTCCTAGTCTGATTCATGGTATGTGATTCAAGCCAGGAACAAAACTGCCAGCTGATCAGAAGAGACACAATTTTTTTGGCCAATCAGAAAAAAGACAGAATTCTACTGAACTGTGGAAAGAGCTCTCAGGTTGCCACACAACAGAAATTTAGCATAATAAAAGAATAATTTTTGCTCCGTGACTTTTTAACATTTGCATGATTTGTGTGCTCTTGCTTTCAAGATCCCTTGCACAGCTACAAAAAAAATCAGGGATTACAGATTTTCACTGCCATATTCCCACATTTCTAACCATTTTTTCCTTGAGGAATCAGAGTATAACTTCCCAAAAACCTTCCTAATGAGAGGGCAAGCAGGACATATGACAGTACTCCAGACAAGCTCTTGCCAGTGAGTAAAAACCACCTTCCAACAGTTAGCAAAGCATGTGTCACCTGAGAGAGTTTAATGGCTTTCTTTATTTGCTGTTCTTCCCACTCAATTTGTGCTTCATCTTCACTTGATTCATCTCTCACAGACACTGGAAGTTAAAACAATCATTATTAGATATAATTACATCCTTTATTTTTCCCCTCTTGTGTTCTCCTCCCTCTAAAGAACAATAACAATTTTCCCAACCAAATCTGGGAAGCAATACACACAAAAACCAGCAGATGAAACACCTGCAGATGGAAGAGTTCCAAACTGAAAGGCATGGAAAGTTTGGAAACAGCTAGTGGGACCTCTGAAATTCACACCAAGATTGATTTTCCCAACATACTGTTTCTCATACTACTACTACTGCAGAATGAGAAGCAAAAATATCTTGTTTCTATGTCTCAAAGTAAAGCTGTGTATAATAGACATGAACAGGACTGTAAGCACAGACAGTAACAGTGACATTATACACAGCAAATACCTGAGTGTCCCAAAACGTACAGTCCACTAAAGATACAGAAATATCTCATTTACAACTGCAGAATCAGCTCCTTGTTATGTATTCCATATAACCTTTATTCAAATAATAAAGTAAAACAATGTTTCATCAACAAAACTATAAGCAGTTGTAAGAGGATAAAAGCAATGGAAAAGCCAGATATGCTTTGCACATAATAGGTTGTTCACGTCTGAAGGGCTGCGTTGTTGGGTTTTCATTTCCTTTTTCAAGAATAGTTATAATGTCACTGCAGGGAGAGCACTGAAAAGACTGGACCAGAAGCAGGATTTACAGCAACTTTACTCACTTTAAATTCTATGCTTCCTACAGGCAATTTTTAATGTCACTGCAGGGATAGCACCGAGAAGACTGGACCAGAAGCAGGATTTACAGCAACTTCACTCACCTTAAATTTTGTGCCTCCTACAAGGCAATTTTTTTTCCAGTCAATGAGGCCAAAAATAACATCTTAAAATGCTTTCCAAAGCATCTGCCACCACGATATTAGTGAGACCTAAACCAGGTCAACACCCCATAAAAAACATAGGGGTCTTGATAAAAAACTATATGGCTGATACTTGAGGAGTAAAGCCTTGTGCTGCACTCTCTCTTTACTGGACAAGTCCCACATTCCTCCAGGTATCATTAAAACAAAGCCACAACCAACAACCACTGAAGAGAAATGGCCCAAACTCACCCATGTGTTCAGTCATCCTCTGCCTAAGAGTTTTCATCTGAGGAGCAAAACTGAGATTCTTCATATCAGACTCATCTTCACTCTCTAAATCACTGCTTTCTCTTCTCTGACAGACCTGATGACTCTTTGAAACATCCAGTGGAAGATAATCAGCCTGTGTCCTGGCCAAGTGACGTTTCCTCCGAGCAGCCTCAACACAAGCTGCACTGGGGGTATGATCTGCATTGAAGAGAAAGAAAATGTAAGCAAAATACTAAAAAAGCAAAACTCTGTATCACTCCTAATGTCACATAGTATCACTAATCACCACAGTTCAGGATCACTGTACAATTCTGAATATAGGACACTAGGTATTTTTCTATTAAGCTCACCACGTTGAATATAAGAAGATGGAAAAGCATCATTTAAAAAGTGGCTCTTGGTCTAAAAACAAAGCTTGGCCTTTTTTCTTTTAAATAACTAGCTGATAGCCAGTCCTCCTTTTCTTCATCTCCCCAAAATATCAGTTACTGAACTTGGTAAGTCTACAACGGAAAGTTTACAAATCAGCACAAATGAAGTTATATTTTAACCTCACGAAGGGAACTGTGCATCACTAAATAGGACTTTTTTACTGATTTTCTTGCAAAACCAAGCATCATAGTTTCTGATCCATTTCCAAAATTAGCACAGAAGTACAACAAACTTCTGCAACCAAAAACATTGGGGAACTGTCACTATTCCTTCAGAGAAAGGGTAGCCTTGACTCAGCACAAATAAGATACCTACAACTTACACAATTTAAGCTGAGTAGGATTCATCTCATCTATCTTGTTACATACTACAAATATTATAAAATAACTTCTATCAAAAAAAAATAAATCAAGAAAACTAACTTGGTGATAAATCCTTCCACCTCTGTGGAGACTTGGATTCATTTTCAGAGTTTGAACTGTTGTAGTCCTCACTCAGTGAAGAAGAATGTGCGCTCTCCTCTTCCTCTTCTTCACGAGTGCCTTCGCTGTTGCCAGTTCCAGGCTCCAACTGACAGATTCCTGCATTAGGGGAAAAAAGTAAGATTCATTATTTCAGTTTCAGCTGATGGAATCCGATGTGCCATAACTGGTTACCAGTAACACCACCTTGCTGCAGCAAAGACTGGTTACTCATCTACCTCCACCTGTCATCATCAAAATGTGTCAAATGTTCCAACACTCCAAGATGGCAACATTCAAGCCAGATATTCTCTCAAATCAAAGCATCTGTGAGTATGTGAGTATCTAATATGTCTTTCGTAGACACAGATCACATTTACATGCACAAAAGCAGCGATAACAGCTGCCATATGACAACTGATTTATATCCTGATAGATCACAGCATGTTTGGATTCATCTCCCTTGACTTCCAAATACTACTTAGAAAGAGGGTTTTTTTAGCATTAACAATGAGGGAGTCCTTATTTCAACTATAAAGGCTTATAGGTCTGTCTTGTCTCTGATTATCTTCAAATTCTTTAAAAGCATTTATTTCTCTTTATCTGCCACTACATTTTCAGTTAAGTAATCAGATTACTGAACAACAAACATGCCACCTGCTATGAGAGCATGAGGTCCACTTCTACCAGAAGTTGTTAAGAAAATCTAATCTCAGTCACAAAGGGAATTATTCCTCAACCTAATATGGTTTTATCTAAATGCAGCAATTTAAGTGTATCTGTGAATTTACAAGTGTCAAAAAGGGAACAGAGAGGAAGAGAACTTTAGGACACACTTGTTTGTAAAACAGACATTTCACAAATACCCCAATACTCAGGTCTTCTAAAGAACAGCCTCCAAGTTCTGGTACTGTTTTACCGAGGTCATATGGAAAATAATTTAAGCAAAAATAGATTAAAATGTGTGAAGTAACACTGTAGGCATAATCCTGGGATTAATTAACACGAACATCAAACAGCAGCATTTGTAAATCAGTCTTTGCTTACTGATTTTGTAAGATATTTTCCTATAAATATTCCATAAAATATTGAACTGAAAAAGTACTTACTTTTGCTTTCTTCAGTCTCTGTCTGCGCAGGCAGTAGGCTTTCCTTCTTCTGACTTCTAAAGATGACTTCATTGAAGGATGGTTTTTTAATTTTAAAAAAGTCTTCATCACCTATGAAAACAGAACTATTCTGAGTCACATGCACAAAGCCAGCAGCAGAAATGCACACCTATCTATAAATCCATACTGCATATGAAGTGCGTCCAATCTGCATGTGTGCACATCACTCAAGACCCATCATCATCACCTCTGGATCTACAACGGGGCAGCTCAGACTCCTCAACTCTTCTGTGTCCAGCACCAGGGCAGTCCCGCAGGCTTCCCTCACCAGCCTGGACAACCCTGACCCTCTGTCACAAGAGCAACGGCCCAAAAGACTCAATTAAGCATTTAAGCATCACTAGCCAGGCTGGGCACAGTGTGACATAGAATCACAGAATTCCAGGGGTTGGAGGGGACCTGGGAAGACCATCCAGTCCAACCCCCCTGCCAGAGCAGGGGCACCCAGAGCACATCACACAGGAACATGTCCAGGGGAATTTGAATGTCTCCAAAGAAGGAGACTCCACAGCCTCTCTGGGCAGCCTGTTCCAGGGCTCTGTCACTCTCACAGTAAAACAGCTTCTTCTGATATTCACATGGAACCTCCTGTGCTCCAGTTTGCACCCATTGCCCCTTGTCCTGTTACTGGTCATCACTGAGAAAAGCCTAACTCCATCTTCCCGACACTCACCCCTTACATATTTGTAAACATTGATGAGGTCACCCCTCAGTCTCCTTTTCTCCAAGCTAAAGAGACCCAGCTCCCTCAGCCTTTCCTCATAAGGGAGATGTTCCACTCCCTTAATCATCTCTGTAGCTCTGCGCTGGACTCTTTCAAGCACTTCCCTGTCCTTCCTGAACTGAGGGGCCCAGAACTGGACACAAT